AGTAGAAATAAAATTTTCATATCTATAGCTAGTCCAGAAATCCCTATAGTTTAAATTTGACTTGGTTTGACAGAAAATAACCAAACTTCCTGAAAATGATCAAAATTATTGAACCAAAATGTATTCTTGATTATTTAGTAAACATAATTCACTTAATAACCTAAGTTGATCTCCAAATTTAAGCTTTCATTATTTTTTTATTTTTTTTCAGAATAGCAAAGAGATGATCAATTGCTCATAACTAATTAAATATGAAAAGATCCAAGAAAAAATGGCAGTGAGAATATTTATTTACTTGCTGTTGGCAAACTCATAGACACGGCCGCGGCTCGAGAACACGATTAAGGCCACCTCAGCATCACAGAGAACTGAAAGCTCATAAGCTTTCTTCAAAAGCCCGTTTCGGCGCTTGCAGAAGGTGACCTGTCGATTCGTGTTGTTCTCGATCCTCTTGATCTCGATCTTTCCTCGACCCATTTTGCAAAACCCTACTAATATATATATCATTGGAAAACAAAGGTTTGTTTCAAGTGAAAGAATAATGTGAAACCTTTGTTCAGAGAAAATTTAAGAGACAGCTTAATTACATGGGTTAACTTTTTTGTTAGTGAAAAAATGACTGAAAGAAAGTAATTAGTAGATCTTGACATCTTTGTGTTCCACACAATCAGCTTGGATTTTTTTCTTTTTTTTTTTTGCATATATATACATCACTTTTTATTTTTCTTTTGGAGAAGGAAAAAGGAAACAGTTCAAGAAGTTCATTTTTTTAGAGTTGATAACAAAAAAAGGATTCCTATTGAAAAGTTTTAGATCCAATTGAGATAGCTAAAAAATTACAGTATTTGGTATAAGGGAAAAAATATGCATTAGTATAAATGAACAGAAAATTTATGATCAAACACGGAAGAAAGTAAAGCAGTGTATACAAAATATAACCCAAATCGAGAGAATCAAAGACACTTCTTGAATCTTTGACAAGCTGCTGGATTGTGAATTGGAAAAAATTAAAGAAAAAGAAGAAGAAAGAGAAAAATACAAGAAATTTTCTGTATTTTAGGGGTTTTGCAATAGTCATGAACAAAAAGGATTTTTGAGCCAACAGACAAATTAGCTCTAAAACACAAACCATGGCTCTTAGCTCAAAAACCACCAAGATCAAAACAAGTCAAGTGATCTTTAACAGTAACACAACACAAACAAGTCATATAAGTCATAAAAACAACATATAAAGACCCAAACTTTGAGTCATTTTTAGCTTCTTGGGAGAGAGATATTATCCAGAGAAATAAGAAAACCATGAAAAGGGGAAAAAAAAACCAAAGAAATCAAACAAACAAACAAACAATAAGAAATCTTTATTACAAGATAGCAAGAATTTATTACTAGAAAAACCAGATCTATATATATATATATATCACATATTCCCTCACCAAGACACACAAACACACACTAATTTTCCAAAAACAAGCTAAGAAGAAAGAAAGAAAGAAAGCAAGAAAGACATATGGAATTGAGCCCAAATGCATGAAGATAGAAAATATTAAAAAAATAAAAAACAAACTTTGAAAAAATGGAACCATCCCATGTTTTTCTTCCTTTTGCCATTTTATTACATTTCTCCCCTTACATTAATTAAGACCCATCGTCACCTCTATGACACACACACACACAAAAACACACACACACAGAGACACAGACATACAAACCTGATTAGCTTGTTCGGAAAAAATTGCTATTTTCCGGCGAGTAAAAATTGCTTTCCCGAAAACTTACACGAATCCCAAACAACCCCTTCAAAGTTT